ACATCATTGGATAGACATTCGCCAAGAGAAGCAAGACAACTGGACTATATCTCACAGTTTTCTGCAGATAGCCAGTTCACCAAGGGTAATGCTAACGTCGTTGCCGACTCCTTATCTTGAATCGATATGAATCTCCTGACACGACAACCAGACATCGAGCTCGAAAATATGGCAACATCTCAGTGAAACGACCCTGATCTCCTGGAGAACCAAATGAACCCGACTCTTATCCTCAAAAACGTCCCAATTCCCCTATCCGATGCCACCATTGTGTATTTTGTCTACGAGTGTGCATTATCCTTTCGTTCCATTAGCCTGCCGAAAAGCTGTGTTTCAACACTTACACCCTCTATCTCATCCAGGTATGCAAGCCACGGTTAGACTAACTAGCCAAAGTTTTGTGTGGCCTAAAATGAACGCAGATATCAGAAGATGGGCATGCGAATGTTTGCGTTGTCAACGCTTAAAAGTGCATCGACATACGATTACCACGCCTCATCAACTCCAACTATCCGACAGATGTTTCCAATACGTCCACACAGATCTTGCAGGACCCCTTCCGCATCCAAAAAATTCACCCACATACTAACAGCAAACGATAGTTTCACCAGAAGAACTATCGCATGCCCTATAAGTGCTATTTCAGCTGATACTATTGCCTCCGTTTTCCTTGATCGCTGGGTTTCTAACTTCGGTATACCTACTAAACTCACTTCGGACAATTCCAGTCGATATTATTCCGAGAGTTCACTCAACTCCTTGGAGTGCATCATATACAAGCTACAGCATAACATCTAGCAGCTAATGGTCTGGTGGAGAGATTTCACCGACAACTAAAAAGCTCGCGGATGGCAATAAATGACAATACTAGATGGAGTGAGCTTTTTCAAATCATCCTGCTTGGAATCCGATCTACTATAAAACAAGACTTAGGAAGTACTCCAACTCAGCTGATATATGGAACGAACTTGATCATGCCATGACAGTTGGTAAACCTAAAGAATGCATCTGAAACTAATAGTTCTACTTTTGCTGAACAGCTTGCTCAAGGCATATCGCTCTTACAACCTACACCACCTTGTACTAGCAACCGTCGAGAACAGTTGGATAAACAACTGATGTCCTGCAAGTTTATTTTTGCCCGGGTGGACTGGATTAGAAAAGGTTTGCAACCTCTATATGAAGGACCTTTTCCAGTGATTAGTCGAGTGGAGAAATACTTTACAGTAAATAAACACGGCAAGCAAAAGAAAGTAGAACTCGATCGAATCAAGCTAGCTTTTGTAGTTGATGAGGTCAAAGTGAATCAACCGTCACTTCAGAAAAAAACTTCATTTGCTAGCAGACCACTACCAATCCCATCCAGAGTGCAAACTTCTCCCATTCTTTCGTGCAGCACATGCAGTGGTCGACAGACAATCAAACCCAAGCGTTGTGTACATTTTATTCACTGATTTTTTCCCACAGGAAAACATTGTGCAGATATATGGTCAGGTGTCCCTTTTGTAGTAAACCTAGAGAAATGTCAAGTAAAACAAAATGTTAAGCTACGTACGATTAACAAAAATAGATTCAATGATACACAAATATGAACATTTACGTGTTATAATACAAAACTGTAGTATTAACGGTGTAATGGATAATAATGGGTTACTTGAATATTATCTCCTCGGGACTGTCTACCACAATTTAGTATACTCCAATGTCAGTTCAGATGACGATAATCGTCAGCATCAACATCACAGTCGATGATGTTTAGCTTGATTGTCGTGATATTTGGAAGTAAGATGAATGGTCGTGTTAAGTCCAAGAACAATCAATTAGTATTCATGTTAGACAGTAGTAAATGATGGTAGAAATCAGAGTGGGTGGAAACACACTATATTTCTACATTTAAAAGCAGAAGCAAAGTGATACCACCACAACCGAAATTCTGACTTTTGTGTTGTACAGATAAACAACATACGTTTCTGCAAGTGATGGGAAGAATGTACAAAATGTGTAAAAAATGATAGTAAGGAAACATGATTTTTTATTTGAGGGGTTTATGCATAATCCCATGCAGTCTCCACACGGCTCCCCACATCTTGAAAATCCGGAGCTGTCGGCGAGAGAGAAAAAAATATGTACATACAAGCCCAGACAAAAAATATGTACAGTTAAAAGAGATAAATTCCCGGGGTTGTTATTGAGAGCTATATTAGTGAGGAAACAAAATTAAAACAGATATCGTGAACGACTATTGAGCAACAATAAAATGTGATATACCTTGGTATAAGTGAGGTGAGCAATAAGAGAAGTATATAATTATTATTATTTGTCCATTGGGTTCCTAGTGGAACATAGAGCTTCAGTAGCACGTCTCCATTTTACTCTGTTCTCTTCAGTCTTTTGCACCTAGCTCCATGAGGGCCCAGAAGCTTTGATTTATTCCTCACACGATCTCCTCCATGTCATCCTCGAACACCCAACTCGGTGTTGGTAATGCGCGGCTCACTGCGAATCAATCGTTGAGAGTTTTGCAACACGCGGGCGACTACAATTAGTAAACCATAATATGTCAACTTACTAGTAAATTCTCGGATTTGGAAGTGAGCTATAAGCATGTGTTGACAGGGGAGCAGACAGGTCTTGTAAACCTTACGGGAACACATCTCCTGATGTATATCAACTTCCGGTTTCCTGTAACTATCTACAAAGAAAACCCAATTGGATAACTTGTTTTCGATGTATACTGCTGCTGGCCGTCTAAAGTCCGTTACAACCTTTCTCGCTGCGTAAAGACTCAGTTTGTCAAGGACTGATTGAAGCCTTTTAGGTCCAACATAACCTTGTTTTCCAGCACCCAGCAAATTCATTTCCAACTTTTCCCTTTCGCTTACAGTTCATCCACATGCGACTTAAATACCTCCCCATATCTTGACTGATAGCGTTGATGATGCGGTTATCCGCATAAAACCTGTGTTGGACGTCAGCATACTGTTAGTGTCTTACCTGCTGGTAGATTCTTCTCGAACTAATCTGCACAAATATTGTCTGAGTATCGGATTCCGTGTCTTCAGGTTAAATGCATACAAACACTTATTTGAAATGCTTACCTTTTTGCACATTGCTCTGCACACGTGGAATGCACACAGGACTACATATGTGTTCTGGAAGACAGTCTCAACAGCCGCCTTCAATGTCCTTGCACAGTCAATGACAAACATTCGTGTGGACGACGTTTCACCCACTATGCATTTAAGCGCGTCTAACTTCTATATTACATCTGCCCTTTGTTCTCGCCCAGTCCACCTAAACATAACTGGGCGACTGTTATCGAAACTGTCCGTTACAACAAACTGAAACAATTTATGGCTACGCTTCGTGTTAATGCTATAACAATAGACTTACTTTCCCTTGTTTGTATTATAGAGTGAGTCAAAGCATACAACCAGTCAATTCAAAACGTATCCGAATTCGAGACTGGTAAACAATATATTTCGATCTAAAACCCTACTCTTAACAAATTCTTAGGTCACCCCTTAATTCTCTGTTTAGTACCTTCTGACTTCTTCCTGTTATCTAGAGCGCATGCAAATACAACATAGTGATACTTTAAATTAGCATCTCCCTTATAATGACTGCATTCTTTGACGACGTAATGCGTATTCGTCATCTAAACATCGAGTTAAGTGACATCTTAGCATACTTGCTGAAAGGTATTTATAACACCTTCGACTTGACTTTAGACAGTAAAATGTTTGGGTCGTATAACCTGCACAAACACAGTAGAAATGTCCACACATGTTGGTCTAGCCAGGCTAGCACTGCAAGTAGAGGCTTGCTGCGACTCTATGAGACCAGGAAAACGAATAGGTAAAGTATTCTTCTAAGAAGAATTTCAGCAGGAGGATAATAAACAGTGATGGAAGGTGCTGACATTTGCACCTCCTTGAACAATCACATAAAAGCTGTAAACGTTGAAGTGATTAAGGGATCTGGGTCAGCACAGGCAGCATCAAGGTTTAAACTGTTAAAAAAGTCTAACAAAACAAGAACAAAGCACAGCGGAAAAAAAAGCATTAGGCCAATAATATAACATTGAAAAATATATTTCAACAAACAAATGTGCAAAAAAAATACGCTATTTGTAACAGACCTGCATCTGAATAATGTAATTAGAAGACGTAGATTATCTGAAAAATGTGACGTATCAGCGCTATACATTTCGAACAATCTGATCACGCATTTACTTGTTGGGGCATTATATATGAAAACTGGAAGTGGGAGAAGGACAAATATGACATAAAGGAATTCAATAATAAGAAAGATAATGAGAGGAATAACAGATAAGATTTGAAGACAGTCTTGGTAATATGATAACGTAAGGACAAACTGTTTTTGCACACACAATGGGGGCTTAAATTTATTTATGGCTAGAGCCTCAACAAACTTAAGTATACGCCGCTGATAGTTTCAATACAAAATTGTAAAGGCTGTTTTAATATCAATCCTGTGACTCTTATTAATGATATGTTTTGCAATGGATGATTGTCCCCAATCAGCCAAAAAGGGGAAAATAATTCTAATTTTGGGGAAATAAGGGGGAAGCTCCATGTTAAAATAAAGCGACATTAGTGGGGAAATGCAACCGATTTCCCCTTTTTATTCACTTTTCCCCACTAAAAGTCGCTTTCCGATTTAGACCTTGTCTAATTTTCCCCCTTAAATACGCATAATTCCCCCTTTATCACGGTCTTTTCCTCCTTAAATCCGCATAATTCTCCCTTAATTGTAGACTTTTCCCCCTTAAATCAGCATAATTTTTAGAGTAGCCCTATCACTTCCAATTGCATTTCAAATTATAATGCACCAACACATGAAATCGGAAAATTTTATTTAATTTATTAAATTTAACGTAATTTGAACCACATTTCCAACGGACAATTGTTTATTTTAACGTAATCTTGCAATTGATATTTTCTTATACGAAAGTAATCCGGGTTGTTGTGGTGGTTCTACTTCTTTTGAATTACTAATTCATCCTGAAAAGGTAAAGAATAAGATTGATAAACGTCATTAATATTGAAGGTTATCTTTTAAAAATGGTTAATTGGGAATAACTCACTATGTTAATGGCCTCCGTCTCATTTGGCATCCCGCGATTGGTCTTTAAGTGAAATAAATACGTAATTAATGAAATGTAAATGAATTGGATAATGATAAACGACATTTATATTGAAGGTTATGGCAAATAAATTGGGATTTCGGGGAAGCTCAAGATGTTTATCGTTTCTGTCTCTGTCAGCATTCCGCTATTTTTCTGTAATTAAAAGGAATAAGCTTATATATATATATATATATATATATATATATATATATATATATATATATTTCAATGGATATTTGAATGTATATACAGTTCAAAGTATGGTAATGCTTACTTTTGTTTGATTCCAGCTCCCAAGCTTGGAAACGCGATCTCGAAGGTCATGAAAGGATGATTTAGTAGCATGATCGGTTTCCTTCATGACTTCATATTCCCTTATTCCCGGTCGACTGAAATCAGCAAGAATTATGGCTAAAAAAACCAGTAAGTTTCAACTGAAAAAAGTGCTTACATCTTATAATCTTGTAGAATAAGAATTTGCACAATGTTAGCTTCTTCGGTGTTCCTATTAGCGTGTACCGACTGGCTAATGCCGGCGACAGTAGTCCAGTTAGCATATGCTTGACTGACCCCTTTATATCCGAGGTGACCTTCCGTGACATTTTAGCAGACTGAAAATAAATATATGAAGCGTACTGATCCTTACAAAGGCATCTCGAAAACCGAGGTCTTTTAATGATACCTCAAGGAAATCCATTTGACCCTCGGTTTCCAAAGGGTATCTGACAGGGTCGTCAGCATGCAGCATACTACTGCTCTCCGGTTTCCCCTTGACCAGCCCTTTAATCAAGGAGTACATCTGCTTAATGTGCTTAGTATTGTCCTCCAACATGCCTTAACATAAAATTGATAAACGTTAGTTATTTTCAGTTACTTATAATGGTCTTCAGGTATGCAGCTGTCTCGTCACTGTTGCATGCTGCAGATATCGGTGATGATGATAGCAATGGTTGCTGTTTTCTTGAAGTGCTGCAACCCAAATAATTAACACTTATTTCAGCTACCTAGTAACAGGCGATATAAGCGATTCCATCATGTTGATGTTGGGATACGATGAGACCGCAAGATCCCGTTGGGCATCCGCGACCTCTATGTCCAGAGAATTATATACGGAATCACTATTTTTTGGGTCGTAACACTAAATAAGGTTAGTTACAGATCCTATGTGTCTTACCGCTTCTACTTTTTACTTGGTAAAGAGAAGGTAACTTCATCAGCATTCATTAATGAATCCGTTAAAGGATCCATAATCAAAACATTAAAAGGATATCTAATGGTCCGTAGTCTATACCAACATTCCCTTAAACATTTCCATCCATGTATTTGGTGGCTGCGCTACGGTTTCCCCATTGATGTCGTCTAATTGTCCGCGTTTCCCCATTTTCCCCTTTTTAGGAGCTTTTTACGCCTTTCAGAAACAGCTTCCCCATCAAAGTCTACTTTTGCCCATTATTTCCCCTTTTTTGGCTGATTGGGTCTGTCATCTGCGCTTATCAATGTTTGTGAATCCAGCTGCTTTCATAGCCATTTTGGAACATATTCCCCTACCCTCCAGTGGATATCACGATTAGTCCTCCCTATGTGTGTTTGTCCACACACACACGTAAATTTATAAACGCAGTGGGATGTGATGCAATCGTTTATACAGCGTTGAGGTCTAGGTTGCAGCAGGTGTTTGGTCTTCTCAACTACGATGAGCTTAGCTGCATAGTACGTTTTGCTAACAGCAGACCTTAACCTTCGTTTTAATATTATGCTGCTAGATTCTCCTCTGTATGGTAACGCGATGTGAACTCATTTCTTCGAAACAAAGTACAGATTAGGTTTGAATTCTTGCTGATTTTTGCAGCGGTTTATGAACGTCAATGGATATCCATTTTCCACTAATGTTCCCGTTAGTGTTTTGATGTCATCATCCATTGGGTCTTCAGTACTTATACACTGGATCCTTTTAAATAGAAAAGTTACCAAACCTCGCTTGTAGTGGGTTGGACAAAAGCTATGGAAACTTAAATACTGACCTGTCCAAGTAGGTTTCCCGTAGATCGACAGTTTTATTGAACCATCATTTCTACGACATAGGAGTATATCCAAGAATGACAGACAGCCTTCTTTCTCTTCTTCATACATTAGGTAAAGGTTGTTTTGCACGACCTTAAGTTTTTCCAACAAACATGTCGCATCTTCATGCATGTCACATATCACGATTCTATTTTATTGAGGCTTGTGGCACCAAAATGCATCTAGGGCTGAAATAAATAGATTGAAGTAAATTAACTATATGAACCTCTGGCTCGCCCTCGGACGCTTAGGAGGTTTTTAAGTTTTGTTTTTACGAGCATGCACCCGATGAGGCTTGGACGTCATTTCGCGCTTCCTTTGTGCTAGTTAGCACGCACGTGCCCAGAGTCCCTAGCTCTGCCATACTAGCCAAATAAGTTGAACTACCTTTTCCCCCATTCATTACTATTACATTTACTCCAATTAAATATATTTCTTTTTCAAATATATTCCCGAACCAGTCCTTTTGATTTGTGTTTCGTTATCAGTAGTTACGTTGGGTAAGGCACTGGTTAAGCAGGTACCAGAGCATATCAAGTTGAGTACCGCTGGTCAAACGTTACGGAATAGTAGCACACTCTTTACAATTGGCGAGACCGAGTATCACTTCTTAATTTGCCTAGTAATTCTTTTACTTTTCCTATGTTGATTTATCTGGCCTATTTTAGTTTTTGGCACGGTCTTGCTTTTTTATTGCATTCCCTGTTGGTTATTTTTACATTGTAACTTTTTACTATCAGCATCTTGCCTCGTCAATTCCCTTATCAATTGCTGACAAAGACTCAACCGCGCAGATGGCCATAGCCCTTCAGCTTCCCACCTTCTGGGTATGCAGACCATCCGCATGGTTCTCCTATGTGGAAGCTCAATTTATCTTGGGACACATTCACTCACAAGAAACTAAGTCCAACTTAGTTATCATCAGCTTACCTGAAAATGTGGTCGAAGACGTCTCAGACGTGCTGGACGACCGAGCACCGAATCTGTACGATTGCCTCAAAACCGCCCTCATCAAACGCGTTGCACTTACAGACCAGCAGAAAGTGCGAGAACTTTTCAAGGATGTGTATCTTGGTAATCGTAAGCCGACGCAACTGCTCAGTCAGATGAAGCAGCTGGTTGCAGGTTTTAATAGTGATGAAACACTTTTCAGGCGACTGTGGTTACAGAGGTTACCAAAAACGGTGCAAGGATTCCTGGCTCCCTTTCATAAGTGTCCCTCAATAGAAATGGCGGAAGCGGCCGAACAGAGCTGTGGACGCTACGAAGCCCAGCACTAGTATCTCAGCTGCACTGTCTACTGCCACGGATTCGTCCAAAAACCCACATCCTCCTTCGGCTGGTGAGCCAACAAGTTTCGATGTTATAGCTCACGTCTCGAAATTGTATGAGGAGTTGTGCAGCATCAGGAAAGAAATGCTGCCTGGTAGTTCTTCCAGCGGTCGCACGTCTCGCTCGCGCAACAGGTCTGCCTTCCGTACCGGTAGCAGGCGTTCCAAATCACGACAATCACAACCCAGGTTGTGCTGGCACCATAAACGTTATGGTGCCAATGCCAGAAGGTGCACTCGACCTTGCACCTTCGAGGCTAACCAGGCAGGGAACGTGTGAGCCAGCACGTGACGGCGACTAACGTCGCTGGCGAGCCACTTCCATGTCACCTTTTCTTCGTCACTGATCGACATTCTGGGATACGCTTCCTAGTTGACACTGGGGCAGAAGCTAGCGTCATCCCACCTACGAAGGAAGAGCGTCTGCGGCCAATGTCTCTGCAACTTCGTGCCGCCAACGGTCCGCCCATCACAACCTATGGTAGGAGATTCCTCGACCTCAACCTCGGATTGCGTCGTTCCTTCCGTTGGGTTTTCATGGTGGTGGATGTGATCACCGGAATTATTGGTATGGATCTCTTGCAGCACTATCAGCTGCTGGTAGATGCTGGCAAGCATAAGTTGATAGATTCTACCACAACACTCTCTGTCTCCGGTATAGTCACAAAGACTCCGCCCCTCAGTCCCGTGTACTCTACGGCGGACGCTTCTAGTCCCTACGCGTCCATTATTCAGTCCTTTCCAGATGTCTTTAAGCCAAGTCGTTGTGTCCCTTGTGTGGCTTCGAAAGTTTCTCATCACATAACGACGACTGGCCAGCTGGTGTTTGCCAAGCCGTGGGGATTATCCCCGGGTAAACTGCATGTTGTAAAGGCCTAGTTTGAACACATGCTTGAAGTGGGAATAATCAGACCACCCAACAGTCCATGGTCTTCACCCTTGCATGTGGTACCGAAAAACAATGGCATGGACTGGAGGCCTTGTGGTGACTACCGAAGGCTCAACGTTAAGACGATTCCAGATTGTTACCCAGCCTCTCACATACACAACTTGACTGCATCTTTAAAAGGCTCCTTCACCTTCAGTAAACTTGGCTTGACGCGTGCATTTCATCAGATCCCAGTTCATCCTGATGATGTTCCCAAGACAACCGTCATTACATTGTTTGGTCTTTCCAAGCTTCTTCGCATACCCTTTAGTCTTCGCAACGCAGCACAAACTTTCTAAGGTTTTATTCACGATGGTTTACGTGGACTAGACTTTGCCTGTGCCTATTAAGACGACATACTAATCGCTAGTCCAGACGGAGACACTCATTTCAACCACTTGAAACAGGATTTCATTATCTTTACCGACCACAAAACTTTGACTTACGCCTTACACACCACCACTGACAGATATTCACCGCGTGAACTACGTCATCTAGACTGTATTTCGCAATTCACGTAGGACATCCGTCACATTTCTGGTGTGAATAACCCTGTCGCATACGCACTGTCTCGCACTTACACCACTACTTTCCCCAAGCGGTTGACTTACGGAAGATTGCTGAACTTCAGGATTCAGACGAGGAGACTGAAAAATTTCGGCACAACCTCTCTGAAGGTACTGCGTTTGCCGCCCCTGAACGTGGCAATATTATGCTACATCTCCACAGGCACACCCAGACCAGTTGTTCCTTTACCCTCGTGCAAGCATGCTTTTGAAGCTTTGCACAGCCCTTCACATCCTGGTATCCATGCCAATGACAAACTGATATCTGCTAGGTTTGTATGGCCTGGTACTAACCGTGATGTTCGAAACTGGACACGGTCATGTATTCGGTGCCAACGTTCCAAGGTGAATCGTCGCAACATCCCACCACTTGGAACTTTCGCCAAACCGGACTCACGATTCGCTCATGTCCACTTAGACATTGTCGGTCCACTTCCACCCTCCGATGGATATAGTTACCTACTGACATTTGCCGACAGGTTTACTCGCTGGCTGGAAGCCATCCCACTGTCTAACGTTACTGCTGAAACAGTAAGCCGAGTCTTCGTCGAAGGATGGGTTTCACAGTTTGGATG